AAAAAGTTCTGTAAATGAGATAAAATGATAACAACTTACTACAGCCGTCAATTCACTACCAACAGCTTCCTTCTTGCGACTATCATCCACTGTTTCGCAATCCTCAGATAAACTAAACACTTTTAAAGCTTCTAACTTTCGATAGAAAAACCGAACCAAGTCCTGCAATAAAGCCAACTGAAGAACTTGTGACTTAAATATATTAAGAAACATGAACTCCCAAAAATGTTTACCAAGTACCTTAAACTCAGGTAAGTACCGTGCGTCCCCTAAAGAAAGATCGAGTAAACGTCTGGCTTCAAGTTTCATTTCATCCCTCCTAAATCATCAATAAATCATTTCATTATCTTCCAGTAAGACACTTCACTTTCAGATAAATTTTAGTAAAAAAAGTAGACTAATAAAAATAAGTGTCGCTAAAGAAATCTCTCACGTATCAGTAAACGCCCAGCACAAGGTCCATCGGAAGTCAAGATTAGGTGTTTTTACAAGACTTTCAATAAACTTTAGCGCAACAAGACGACATTTTAGTGAACTCTAAAAACCAAATTATAAAAATACACATTAAGGAGCAAAATGAAAGTGCAAACGAATTCAAATAAAACAGTTACAAAACTATAAACAGAAACACGGGTAGAGAAGTAAATTAGAATTTATCAAGAGATTTTGTAAAAAATAGGTAAAGTTAAAAAAAAAAACAACGACTGAAACACCGTAATCATTACGAAACTTCATAAACAATCATTCAGATTAAATCAGCAATTAAGTTTTTTCGACACCGAGAGACCTACTACAGAAACGTTTTGGAAAATTATCCAATCCTTTAGCTTTAACCACTACTAGACTATTATTCATTCAGAAGGGATTCTTTCAAAAGATACATACTTCCTTTTGCCGACCTTGAAAGCAAGAGTTTGAAAGATATCAAATATTTAACTCAGAGAAATAACGACCAAAATTTAGCCAAATTGTTTACCTAATTCCAATTTCAGCTAAGATTTTCAGAAACAAACCAAATGAAAACCAATTGAATTAATGGCTAAAGCAAAAAGTTTTGCGACCCAATTTCGGGTACACATGATATCACTATCATAGCAAAAATTTGAATACACGACAAGTTTAATTTTGGAGAGCACATGCACAATGAGAAGCTAAGTGTGAAGAGGGAAAAACAGTTAAACTTGTAAAAGTAATCTGTAACTACAAATTAATTATTTCTGTCTCGCTTAACTTCAGCACTACGATTTCTTCACTAATGGGGCTACAGAACTCATTCAAAAAACCAGTACCAAAGCAAAAAAATTTTAATGTTTAATAAACTGTAAACTAAACAAGGAAGTAAAAAGTGTTGAGCAACATTCATAGCTCTGAGAAAATAAAATGAAAGAGTGTACTTTAAAAGCAAAAAAGAAACTATTTTTTGCAAATAGTGAGAAATTTTAAAGTAGAAACGTAGAAGTATTAGTAAGTGAAGTGTTTCTAAAAGCAGGAACAAAAAATATCTTTAACTAAACTTTACACTCCACTTTCACCTCCTGGTAAATAAAGCAAAGAATAAACAGGAACTGAATAGGTTTTGAAACTATCAAAGGAGAAATTATAGCAGAATATATCTTTGAAATCATCCTTACATGTTGACAATAAGCAGAAATAATTGTTTGAAGAACGCCAACACTAGCTGCATCCTTTAAATTGCACAGGCCAGGTAACCACGTAATCAAGCAATCGCCTATAGATGAACTTAAATCAGCAGGCGCCTAAATATATTCTTTTTAGTTTACAAATGAAGTTGAGAGACCAAGTAAATGCAATTTTTTAGGGGACTATCATATCAAAAAGCCCTTACAGGTGGCTATCTTACTAAATATACAATGAAAAAAACCTGGGACAGTGCATCAAACGTTTCTTGTACAAGTTGCAAATCATTCATCAGCAAATTCGGCAACTTTTTGCCCGTTAATCCAAGACATTGATAACCAAGAGAAACGACATTTTCGTGCTAAATAAAGAGAATCAAGCAAAGTCATGAGCTTCTTTAAGCCGCGTTGGTTTACCATACAAGCATTTGTTTGAGTTGGCACAATGGGTTTAATAAGCGTAAATTCTAAGTAAAATTCAGTAAAGGTGCAGAGAAGTAGACATTTTAAAACTCGACATTATAAGACCCTTAATATTTCGATATATCTTAATATTTCGGTTCAACTAACCTTGTTTTCGCGAACAAGCCTCCTAAGCGAAGAAAAAATTACAGTGCCTATTCCTTGAAATGCTGTTTCTGGGCAACTTTTAATTATTAAAAGTAAGAATTCAGCAGCCAATTGTTTAAGTTTTGCAATATCGTAATTCCTAGCAAACAACCCATCAAAAGCGACCTGAAATATGTCTAACGATTTCCACCGCTTCGCCAATAATGTACAATTCCGTTAGCAAAACTAAGATACCAAAAAAGAGCATAAAATTGACTATATTTATAAAAAACTAAGTCACTGCAAATATTTTAAGTGGTGCACAGCTAAATAACTTTACAAAATATCAATTCCAGAAAATTAAATAAAATAAGAAGAGCAAACCCCAGAACTTACAGCGAACCAAACAGTTTTGAAGGAAATGCAGACCTATTTTAAAATTTTGTTTGAAGGCACCAAAAACTTATGGTTTCACAAGCATACCACTAGAACGAGTAAACAGTTTTAAGCTTGGCCCTTCCCAAAACATGCTCAGGAAAAGGGAAGAAAAGAAGCATAAAGCAGTTAAGGAACTAACTTTAATATTTAAGGGATACATAACGGGAGCTGCTCGAGATCGGTTAAAGTAGGGAAACATAAGCAATTTCAACGGTAAAGATGCGCCACTAACTGCACTACCGTCATTAGGGTTCTAAAAAAGCAAAAAAAAAAGATTGAAAACAAAAAGTAAAAGTAAAGTTAACGGTCTCGTGTCACAAATTCAAATAACAATCTTCACCCAGAAGTGCGAGATACTAACGAAATATGCGTACTACAAATGTCACAACAAAGAATGCAAATTGTTAGGCTCATTAAAACAAAGTCTAAAAAAGTTACCTTTGGTGCGGAACCGAGATAAAGCGAGAATAATTTAGCACACATATTTCTGTCGCTCAATATTATGTCTAGGTCCAATCTTCGTATTGCAGAACTGGTTATACTTTCAACTTCATCAGGACCGTTGGCAGAGCCCAGAAGTAAAAGAGGAAATCTTTCCTGATCCGTAAAGGAATCGCAAGAAATGATTTTTAATACAGCGATCTTCAGCTAAAAAGAAAATTTCTGCTTTAAAAAAAACCTTTTTATGTTTCATAAAAAATTCCCGCTACTTGACAAATTAAACCAATTAAATCTTTTCTGCTTCTTTCAACTTTTAATTAGAAGAAGAACTGAATGCAATAGAAAAATTACTTGACGCTCTAATATAACAGAGCATACTCAAACTTCAATAAAATAAGTAAGATAACCCAAGTAACTACTGTAAGAAATTTTAAATTTTAAAGAACAACTGAACAATAGTTGGCAGCTGAAAGGCATCATGGTTCGTGTTACGTTAAACCGAATGAGTAACGAAGTAGTAGAAAGTCAGAACAGGCAAAAGCTTTGTAGGTCAAAAACAGAAGCGAAGTTATTTCAGTCTCCGGTAAGAAAACACATCTGTTACAGATTTTTTATACATTTGAGTCGCTACCTTTACAACTTCTGCAATTCCCTAGCAGTGAACAATAATAAAGAACTATTATCAAACTGTAAATACTAAGCAACTGCAGTTTATTTCATCTTCATTTAAAGCGATCTTTTTTGGTACAGAGAGCTTCTAGAAAAAAGGTTTATAGGAACCTTTGTAATCGAGCACCGTTTCATATCTCTTGTCTCTGCTCATAGAGTTTAGTGAATACACTTTTTTTTTTTCAAAAAGCTGCGACGCCTAGTTTCCAGACGATAATTGAAAAATGTTCAAAAGATTACAGAGAAATTTCTTTTTATAAAATTGTAGAAAAATACTTGCTACTGTGAGTGCATTGTTTACAGCTTTTTTAAAATGCTGGATTACGATCTCTAGAAAAAATAGAGAATTACGAAATTGTGAGAATAAGGAAATATGTCTAAAGTCCCAAAATTTGAAATACTACAAAAAATTTAAGGAGATTTTCAAATTTCAGTGTTAGAGTTTGGTTAGGAACCCACTTTTCTAGGCTTTTCAAATATTGCAAAACTGTTCTTAAATTATTCTGAAGTGTTCTGTAGCTCCTTTTCACTTAGTCTGATAACGACTCTTCTGCATTTCTCAAAGACCTCTTACAGCACAGAAGTATTATAAAAGAACACCAAGTAAGTCGTACACAAAGTTGCAAGAAAGTATTTAAACCTCTGCTATAGTTTTGCTCCATATCCTTAAAACTATCTGCTTGATAACTTGCAAAAACTATCAATATTCGAAACTTACTTTAACAATACTTAGCTTCAGGTCAATAACCATCTCCTTTGCCAAAAGAAGATAGCTCTGGCGAACCATACACGCTGGTGGTTCTGCTTCTCCTCTTTCAATCTTTGAAGCTTGAAGGATCACATTTTCTCTACAAAAATCTTCAGTAGTATACATGGTCCCAAATTCATTAAAGATGAAAAACTGATGAAAAAAGTTATTTGCTTAGCTGGTACCTACAAAAACACTTAAATAAAAAAATGATAAAATAAAAAAAATAAAAGTAAATAAAAAACGGCGCTAAAAAGACTATCACTATTGGCACAAAAAAATGAGATC